CACCATACAGTGTATTCCTCACACAATACAGTGTATTCCTCACACAATACAGTGTATTCCTCACACTATACAGTGTATTCCTCACACAACACAGTGTATTCCTCACACAATACAGTGTATTCCTCACACAACACAGTGTATTCCTCACACTGTACAATGTATTCCTCACACCATACAGTGTATTCCTCACACAACATACAGTGTATTCCTCACACAACACAGTGTATTCCTCACACAACACAGTGTATTCCTCACACAACACAGTGTATTCCTCACACAACACAGTGTATTCCTCACACAACACAGTGTATTCCTCACACTGTACAGTGCATTCCTCACACCATAGAATGTATTCCTCACACAATAAACTGTATTCCTCACACAACACAGTGTATTCCTCACACCGTACAGTGTATTCCTCACACCATGCAGTGTATTCCTCAAACCATACAGTGTATTCCTCACACTGTACAATGTATTCCTCACACCATGCAGTGTATTCCTCACACAATACAGTGTATTCCTCACACTGTACAATGTATTCCTCACACAACAGTGTATTCCTCACACAATACAATGTATTCCTCACACAATACAATGTATTCCTCACACCATACAGTGTATTCCTCACACAATACAGTGTATTCCTCACACCATGCAGTGTATTCCTCACACAAAACAGTGTATTCCTCACACAATACAGTGTATTCCTCACACCATACAGGTGTATTCCTCACACAATACAGTGTATTCCTCACACCGTACAGTGTATTCCTCACACCGTACAGGGTTTTCCTGTGTATTCTTCACAAAACACAGTGTATTTCTTAGACGAGTAAGTTATTAATGAAAATTCTTTAGATGTGTAAATATATACCGCTGAATGCTTTTGTTTTTAAGCGTTCAAGAGCAGGATCATTTTGCATCACATCTTGGCATGAATTTCCACAGCGACTGAGAAAACTAAGATTATAAAAGGTTTCATTTTTTCATGACGGAGTGAAACTTCAGGAGGGCGAAAGAGGGGTACACAAAAAATGAAACTTGGGAATGACTTTTACAAAATATACCACCCTCACCCGAAAATAAGATGGGACAATCCCAAAAGATTTCTTACCCAATACACGGACGCTTCAGACATAGACAAAGAAGACGCCAGTTGCATATTGATGTTACTGGCAAACAAGGATAAGTTGGACCGGCGCAGAGAACACGCTTAAAAGAAGTGCACGGCATTCAGCAAACCCATTTGGTTTGTGAAAAGTGGAACAGATGTAGGCTAGTGCACGTGCATTACCCGACGATGAAATTGATTCCGCGTGTAGGTGCTCATGCCTTGCTCATAAGACTCTCACGTCGGTGTAGCAAGTCGACAACCTGGGGCCCCTTTTGCTAACAATGGTAAGAGCCAGTGGGCGGCACTCATACATGCTAATACGAATCAATTGTCAGGTCGGTGCTCAACTTATCATTGTGTGCCAGTAGACGTCAACATATGCGTCCCAAATGGATGTATATTAATCTTCAAAAAAAAAGTAGGGGAACCTGAACTTTCAATTTGGATTAGAAGTATTTATGTAAACGTTAACAAACTTTTCAAAGACAGACATCTTATGAGCGCACCACCATTTCTCTATATCACCACCCCTTAAACACAACTCATGGGATGTACGTTCACAACGCAGTAGCCCCATACACCTGCATATGGTGTCATTCTTGATTTTGACGGTTTTCAAGAAGGTCGATAAATCACTGTAGACTATTAATTTTGACAATCATCTTGCATAATACAGTTGTTTCTAACCGTTTTTGTTTTGTTTGAAAATGGAAATCGTACGCATGCAAAATTCACATCATACAACAATTATCTTTCAAGAGCGATTACTGTACAAACAACTATGGTCATAAGGAAGAGCAAGTGGTGATTTACTCTCAAAACATTTGTTATTATCATATCGACATTGATTGACTCTGATATACACCAAATGTTTTCAATCGTAAATTTAAAATGAAGTTCCCCTACTTTTTTGAAGAGTATACTAATTACATGGAGGGTACAACCACTGGATGTAAATCAGAGGAGCAAGTCAACATGATCCAGCAATACAACCTCGGGCACATAGCGCGTTGGCTCATTTTTAAACATCCCAAAGCCCACTGTAACTTTTATTCCCAAGCCTTGCTCCAAGGTTGTACTGAATGCTAAGTGTATAGCATGGATGTATAGCAATTCAAACCTTTAAAGAGGTAAGTTTAGATAAGCGGACAGTAAGGACGCCAGTATGTTAGAGGGAAAATGTGTTTTTTTAATTCATATTTTTCTTTAAAAACTTTAAAATATTATATATTACCTTACAGGTGTAGTAAAATCCATCTATTCCGGTGTGTTTCTTTTTCCGGGCGGTAGGGTAGCTGAGAGGTTAAAGCGTTCACTTGTCACGCCAAAGGCCAGGGTTCCAGTCCTCACGTGGATACAACGTGTAAAGCCCATTTTCGGTTTTTCCCCGCCACTAAATTGGTGGAATATTGCTAAAAGCGGCGTAAAAGCCAACTCCCTATTTTTCAGGTTTGTTACCGGTACCGCCCATGATTCGTCTTTATCTGTACCAAACTTTGAATAGTACATGTCTTTTATATGATATTGTTATGGCTTTGTAGAATTATAATCGTTATCTAATCCTCGTTAGATATTGATTTATGTCATGATTGCGAAAATAAATCATTTAGAAAATTCATCATTGGAAATTCCTAACCACCCGAACCACCAACAGCTATAAGACGGGTCGCTTTACGTCGGTAGTTGCAACATTGGAGATACCACCAGCAAAAAGAAAGACCTATGGTGACAGGTCTTTGACAAGCTCAAGCGAATCCTAAAAACAGTTTTTTGACAGCGCCTTTTTCTGTGCGCCTCTGAGCAATTTGTCGGAACGGGCGCTTTATAAATATTAACGGTATTATCATATATCAGTGTGTTGTTTTATGCCGCGCTCAAAATAATAAAAATAATTAAATAATTAAATAATCTGGTCAAGAAAATACAAACAATGATTGATATTAGAGTTAATCCCTCAAGCACCTGGGTCGCGTAATAGTAAACGAAGACACTGGACTGGTCACCTGAAGAGACTAGTTGTACGATAAGCAAAGGTTGCTGAGGATACATTGTCTCATATTGTCCAATTGGTTTCAGTCCTTGAAGACACCAAAAATAATCTTCTCACGTTGCCTCATAAATCCGACTTCATCACTGTAGACAAAATGTTATCACTGTGGCGTTTGAATACACAATGCCGTTTAGAAAGTGGGTAAAAGGTTGCGTAAGTTATGTTTGGGATTACACTTTCTCTGTAACGTACAGATTCTAGTACTTTTGTTGCGTTGAGTGCCTTCCGGGATTCGAACCCACACCCTCAGAGTCAGGTACCTAGTCGCCAGTACACAAAGTCAGCCACCTAACCCGCTCAGCCCCTCAACCCAACAAAAGTACTAGAATCTGCACTTTACTGAGAAAGTGTAATTCCATATATAACATATGTTACCCGTGGCGTTTGTTTCAACTTAAACAATTATTTTCTCCAGCTTGGACCATTTGAATAAAGCTTTCTGGTATCTGTGCTACATAAATTCATCACTCGAAGTGATTAATGACTAATGGTAAGTAGTGCCAAATTCTAAAATAAATAAATAACAAATTATGTTAAAATGAAACAATTACCTATTAAAGTCCTATATAATAAGAACAATTTTTTCGACGCCCATAAGTAAGAATATTGAAATTCTGGTGGGTATGTTGTCGCTAGGAGTTATTGATGTGATACGTTTTCTCTGATCATCGCGTAAACGCGATGCTAAGTTGTTCTCTCTGACGTCCGCGCAACTCGGACAATGTTGTTTTCTCTGACGTCCGCGCAACCCGGACAATGCCGTTTTCTCTGACCTCCGCGCAACATGGACAATATTGTTATCTCGGCCGTTCCCGTTCATGGAATGAATAACACGAAGGATTGCCTAGAAGTGTTAATACCTTTGCCTGCAATGGGAAAATGACAAAATATAATCTTTGAAACAGGAAATACAGACACTTAATTCTGTATTAGAATTGACTTCTTTCAGACAAATTGAGTAAATTTTGCTGCTTTCATAGATCTTCCTTCGGAGCATGTGAACCTTTCTTCACATCTCCAACCCTTTGAAAGATGATCTAGTCGATTCTTTAATTAGCGATACAGCTGATAAAGTAACAACAAATTGACACCACATACACCTGTGATAAGAGTAAGCTTCATTAATTCTTGGACTGGTCGGCACCGTAAGCTATGCGATTCGGTAGCCGTTTATATCCTAGTCAAGCGCCTGGATTTATCGACAAATACACAAAAGCCCCAGTTTATGCTTATGATTTGTTGTTAATATGTTTTGTTTGCAGAATTGCAGGCAATTGTTCACAGGTATATTCGGCTGCGAGTCATTTTAACCTGATTGGCTGCCTATATCGATCGTTTTATCTCGCGCGCGGCGTTCGTCTAAATAACTTGTGCGAGATTCAGTACAATTTATGGTACCTAGGCAATGCAAAATAAACCCTAGTTGGTCAAAGAAACTAATGATTCCATGAGTTTACATCCCGTGATCATTAACGGGGAATTGTGAATAATAATACCCAGATAACGTAGCCTATATAGGTAAAAAAATTTCTATGGTTTTTAAAATGTTTCGGTCATGTTTAAATCTCAAAACAGTGTGATATTATTTTTTCATTTTATGCAACTTTTACCTCAAAGAATTTTGTTTGTACATACATTGATAAATTAATTTCTGTTGTCTCGTGTGTCCGGTGACATAGTATACAATGTAATTTTGTATGAATTAATTTACATTTTTATAAATTTGATGATTTGTGACACATGTTTTATGATTTCCATATCACATTTTGAAAATACGATTGTTTTATGAGACCCGAGCAGTTAACCTTTGAACTTTTTAAACCTCAGCACAGAAGAGTTCGTCCGACTTGACGTTCGAGGCAAAATGGCCGCCCCCAGAAAGCACGGATATCCATCGGTTAAAGTGGCAGATATTACTGTCCAGGATGATTCGTCGGACAGTGATGCCGAAACGGAACCAGCTAAAGTTTTCCACAGACGCATATCAACTAACCGAGCTATAAAATCGTCTGTAAGTATATATACTTCCATTTTATGGTAACAAGAAATTGCAGAATCGAGTCGAATGTGTGTGCACCGCGTCGGGCGTCTGTTTACTATGAGAACACCTACCGGACGATTCTTTATTAAACGGGCACCTGTTGTGGTTTGTGTTGAAAGGTTACATGTTTTTTACATCAATATTTTGAATGGACAAAACGGGTGTTGTTTAACGTTTCTCTCATTCTTCACCGTTTCTGTTATAAGCGAAGCACGTGCCACTCATGCCTCGTTGCACATGTCAGTTTGACGAGACGATAGGAGATTGCACGAGAATCTCGTAATGCATGTGCAGTCACGTGCATGTTAGCGAATGTAGGTTATGCGATTTCTGCCAAAGACATCTTTATATACAATATGTGTGAACGGTTCTCTTATCGTTTAATGGCAATAACATTTCTCAGGCCAAATAAAACATCCTCTGGCACTGAAAACAATTGAAGTGGAGTATTAGCGTATCAACATGGTCAATGAATGTATTTGAACTGATTTTGACAGCAGTACATTTTAAACACATTAATTGCACATACAGGAAAGAAAACAGGGCACCTTATATTTTGTGTGAAACTACCCTAATGTATTAATTACCTGTATACTGTAAGGTATATTATTCAGTTTACTTGTGATCTGTGACTGTTGTTAAAGAAAGCGATTGATGGAGAAATTGATCTTCCCCAACCATGTTTTGTTATTAATTATTGATGCCCATAGGAGATAATTTTGGAAGCTGCCTACTACCATCACTTGTATTGAAGTCTAGTAAAAAATCAAGGCTGTTAAAAAGATATTTATTTTGTTTACAACTTAAACTTTACAAATACAACTCAATCTCTGCAAAACACCTTGAAGTCCAACAGAACCAGTTAAAATGTTTGAAGGAACAGCAGATCAACTACTTGCTTCCCTTTTATAAAAACAACAACTGAATGATGTTTTTTTCAGTTACCTGAGAACTGACAATGTATATTGTAGACTTCCACATAAGGGACTGGTCAGTTATTATGAAGTGATTTGTGACATGGAAAATTATTATCATCATCATCAAAGTGTTTATTACATATGAAGGTCACAGGCCCATATACATATTAATATACATATTCTAAACAGGTATGAAGGCATGAACGAAAAGAGGAAAATAATTTCTGAAAAATTCATAGCATTTACCTGTCTACCTGCATAGATTATCTTACACCCCCAGTGAAAAATATCAGTAACATGTATATGTATAGCTGTACTGGAATTATTTAGAATTTTAATACCTGTTTCTATTTTTCTAACTTTTCTCTCATTTTGTATGCATAGTCGATAAAACGAGCTAGATTATTTATGTCTTCAGTTTTGTTTTGCTTAAGGATATTGCTAAATGATATCATATTAACTTGCAAAATCTTAGGCAAAAATCTACCCGAAGTTCTTTATAAAGCTGGACATTTCAGCAAAATGTTTTTTTCAGTTACCTGAAACTGACAAATGTATATTGTAGACTTCTACATAAGGGACTACCGCCTCCGTGGTGTAGTGGTTAGAGCGTCCGCCCGGAGAGCGGAAGGTCGCGGGATCGATCCCCGACCGCGTCAAACCAAAAGACGTTGAAATATGGTACTTGTTGGTCCCTGCCTGGCGCTCGGCATTAATGGTTACAACAAGTACTGGTCGGCTCGGAGTCAGTATAATGTGTCTGAGTGGGGTATTCATGCTTCACTGCGGCATGGTATCTCAGTGGGCTAGCACTATAAAACCAGCTTCAGTCTGGGCTAGTACAAGCAGCCGCACATACACATACACACGCATGCACGTCGTCATATGAGCGAAATCTTCTCAAGCACGACGTAAAGCCCAATTTCACCTCACCTCACATAAGGGACTGGTCAGTTTGTATGAAGGGATTTGTGACGTGGAAAATTAGCATTTCCACAGTATACCACTGTATGAACCTCCAATTTTTGGTAATTTTTGTCTTTCCCCCTCCAGAGAGCAAGTTATAATTGTTTTGAATAAATAGAATTATCATGTTTTCATATTCCCTACCTCTACTTTCTGCCATATTTCTCTGCTAAATCTTGATCCTCCTCTTTCACTGCTATCTTTCTCATAACCACACAACCTTAATCTCACTAGACTACCCTATCTCCACCCCCACCCCACATATAACTATTGTTGTGACATATTCCGAACTATTGTTTACCAAATGTTTGTAGAAAGAAGAGAAACTCCACATCTTCATTAATCAGTAGTTGTAATATAAATAATATTTTTGATTGATAAACTCATGAGCCAAGCAAGCCAGAAGTTCATCAGCTTGCCATTAATCTCCACAGGGTTTCTCTTTTGTTTTAATTCTAGCACAATCAATTTCATGGCTTTTCCACTGAACCTAAATTTATAGAATTAGCATAAATATTCAGAGGAGGATGAGTGTTAATTGCAATATGTCTGAATTGATAGATATGTACCCCTCCTACGTGAGCCATGTATTGTCATATTGTGTTGGGCATTGTTTAATGTTAGATACATATATGTCAATGATTGTTAAATTAATCATTGTATAATACCACATTGAGTTAAACCTGTATTGGATCCGTATATAAGGAGGCAGCCATTGGATTTTCAAGGTGAGGGGAGGGAGTAGGTTTTCAGATTTACATATTTTAGGAGCTCAGATGATTTTGTTCTGCAACAAACAGGTGCTTGATGTTTTTTTCATAATAGAAATAAGGCAGTGTATTATTTGGAAGACTGACTGACTGACTGAGTTCGGTTTTACGCCGCTTTTAGCAATATTCCAGTAACATCACGGCGGGGGACACCAGAAATGGGCTTCACACATTGTACCCATGTGGGGATTCGAACCCGGGTCTTCGGTGTGACGAGCCAACGCTTTTACCAGTAGACTACCCACCTCCCCTTATTTGGAAGAAGGCATTGGGGAAGCCTAATGGATAAAGTGTCTGCTCATCATGCTGAAGACCCGGGTTCAATCCCCACATGGGTACAATGTGTGAAGCCTATTTCTGGTGTACCCTGTCGATATTGCTGGAATATCACTCACTCACTCACTCTTTGGGAGAAGGGCTAAAAATGTTTGGACTGAGTGACTGACTGAGTTTAGTTTTACGCCGCTTTAAGCAATATTCCAGCAACATCACGGCTGGGAACACCAGAAATGGGCTTCACACATTGTACCCATGTGGGGATTCGAAGCCGAGTCTTCGGAGTGATGAGCCAAAGCTTTAACCACTAGGCTACCCCAGCGCCCCAAAAATGTTTTGAGGCATAGGTGGTGTGTGATTTTTGTAAATTCTCCAACCAATGTCACTCTCCGGCGCAGTGATGACTTAGCATAACATCACTGCCACAGGCTAATTTGCATATCACGTGACCAGACTTTTTCTCTTGTTTGTAAACAAACGCGCATATTCATAATAAGAAGAGGCTGGCCTTACGCAAGCTTTTCAGCGCACTCTTCACAATATTTTACATTGTTACATATATATTCTTCCACAACTGCGACAGTAAGGTTTATGACAGTACATATTTAGATCTCAAATTGGCTGCATCGTTTGTTCTCAGTCGGCTTCGATGACAGCACGTGGAGCCGTACAACCTATGTAAACAAAGGATCGTTACGCAAATCGAAATAGTGTTACATATTTTAGGATATTTTCTCAGTGAAACTAAACCATTCTATCAAAGATGTTTAATTAGATGTGTAGACTCGTCAAAAATAAAAGAGTTAAGAAATATGTACATTATATTGAATGGACGGTGCAAGATGTGACGAATCGTCACATCTTTCTGGCCTGCGGCAGAGGTACTATGCTGGCTGGCCGCATGGAACTCTGGGTAGGAGAGTGAACCAATGTGTGATAATTCTGTAAACAATTATGGAAAGTTTTCACTTGAGTTTCAAGAATTTCCTAGATTTCCACCTGTTTCCCTGGCATTTTTCAAAATTGTCCATGGATAGATTAGCTTGTTGAAGTGAATCAGAATATCATTTTTGTGTAAACATAGACATGCATTTTTGGTAAACGATAATCACCTACTCTTCTAAATAAAATAAGGATATTGATTTCATTTAATCATTTTGCAAAACTTAAAATGTTAAGTGATCACTTATAAAATATTTTTCTTACGAATAAAACAAAAATCTACCTAAAATAATTATTTGAATAATGTAATTAATTCAGTGCTATTCAAATCAAATATGTCTGTGGTCAAAGTGTTTAATAACTGGAAATGCTTCTGTGAAATGCACCAAAATATATAGTTATGAAAGAATGGTCTTTGACTGCGTGATGAAAACCTGCAATGTTTTTCACAAATTCTTTGTTAGAAAAATGACAAAATCTGCTCATGGGATCTTCCAAAAGACAGGTACATCTGCACTGAATGGGTATTTCTGCAAAATATTCTGCGTGAGCTACAGTGGGGCCTGACATGTACAGTGTTCATTGTTACTTGTTGAGATGTCGGCACATGAGTGTTTAGATGCTTGAGGTGTCAAGAATCTGTGTTTGGTCAGTTATTTTACCCAGAATTCTCCACATCATTAATTCTATCAAATATCCTCGAGGTCTCAGATTCTACCCAGAATCCTCCAGGTCAGGTAATTCAACCCCTGAATCCTCGAGGTCAGGTAATTCAACCCCTGAATCCTCCAGATCAGGTAATTCAACCCCTAAATCCTTCAGGTCAGGTAATTCAACCCCAAATCCTCCAGGTCAGGTAATTCAACCCCTGAATCCTCCAGGTCAGGTAATTCAACCCCTGAATCCTCCAGGTCAGGTAATTCAACCCCAAATCCTCCAGGTCAGGTAATTCAACCCCTGAATCCTCCAGGTCAGGTAATTCAACCCCTGAATCCTCCAGGTCAGGTAATTCAACCCCAAATCCTCCAGGTCAGGTAATTCAACCCCTGAATCCTCCAGGTCAGGTAATTCAACCCCTGAATCCTCCAGGTCAGGTAAT